GTTTAAATCAGCTTGATTTAAATCAGTCCACCCTAATGCGCTTCCACAGTTGCACCCTGGAAGGTGGGTAGGAGCGGCTGTCACTGGTGGTTGGCAAAAGATGTCTCTAGGCAGTCTTGTGTTTTTAGTGGCTGTAGCAGTCCCTCGGTGGCTTATGCCTTCCTAGGGTGCACTGAGTCTTCTGGCAGCACAGCTGCTGCAGTGGAGCTGTGGCGTTGCTGTGTGAGAATGGATATGTCCTCTAAAGGCTGGCTGCTGCCAGAACTTCTGCTGGCAGGAGCAATCGGGTATAGACAGGCAGCGGTATTAACTTCATGTCATGGAGAAAGCTTATTGCTAGAGTAGTGTAACTGATACTGCTGCTGCCCTGGCATTTATGTTCCTTAGTTCCAGGAAGTGCCATCTGACATCTCTGACACTAAAACATGCAAGCTTCATCTTCTGCACAGTTAGTAAAATAGATTTTGCTGGTTTATAAATGGAACTAAGTATTTATATGGCATCTTGGCTCTAGTGACATTTAAAACTGAAGCAAAACCAAATAACTTGCTAAATAGAGATTAGCGATATTAGGGGAAAGAACTATGTTCAGGGTTCTAAATATTATTAATACTTCCTTTCAGTTTGCCGGTTGGATATTGGGAAGAAATATGTGAAAGACTGAATACTTCTATATCTAAAGTTCTTAATATTGTGCTTGCTGATTTCAGTTTAAGCCTTAACTAGTGTATAATTTAATATTTATATCATACCTAGCCTACATATAGGTTTTGTTACAATACAGATATTTTCCTAATGGACTAAAATATACTGGAATAAGTGCATTTTGTACTAGTAAAACTGCTTTCACACTAAATGTGTGGGGAAGAGTTTGTGCCATTTTAATGATAAAGGAATAGGTAACATAGTACAACTTCAGTACCTAAAACAAAACCTCAGCTTTTATGTTAAGGCAGCTGAGAGAGTTGAAACAATGGAGAACTTTTTCTAAGAGCTTTTACACCATTTTTATTTCTGTGACAAATACATTTATTTTTTAAAAACTTTTTGGTTTAGCCAGTGTAAATATGTCTGGGGTTCCCAAGTTCAAGTCTTCATCCTGTCCTCTTGATCTTGCTCTCATTAAACTGTGTTTCTTTGCTGTCAATAGTTTTGAATTGTGTTCAGATTAAACCATTTCGTCATTAAGTACAGAATGAAAAATTGAGCCTTCCTTGAAATTTAAACAAAATGAGGGCATAAGCAAAGAAGAAATAAAGGAAAAATGACTTAAGTGTGTAAAATGTACATCTTAGGCCACATACAGACATCCCGTGTCTCCTGGGAGAGTAGCTGCTCTCCCAGGAGACATCACAAGAGTACAGATGTTCAGGTTTTTTGTCCCAGAGCAAAATGACCACTTCAAGAGAGAGATTCTGGGGACAAACAGTTAAATCACTTCTGGGAGAGTTTTTTTCTTGGGACAAAGAATGTGGGTACACGTTTTCTTCTGAGAAGCCAAAGCTCAATCCACCAGCATCCCAGGGTGACTTGCTCCCTGTCTCTCCTGTTGGGAGAGCTTGCTGGACTCTGCTGCTCGAGCCAGGCAGGGAGCAGAACATACTCCCTTCTTCACAATCCCATACTGTGCTTCAGGAAGACAGGCTGACTCTGGGAAATCTAGGTCAGCCAGTGAGGGCTGCCCTGTGTACTGCTGCCATTCTGTCTCCAGGCAGACTGAGGGAGCCTGTAGAGTACAGTGAGATGTGTACACAGGGGCCTCCTGGCTGTGCAGCACCAGCGCTGAGACCAGTCTGCTCTTCAAGGACTCAGCATTTAAATGGCTGTTCAGGGATCTCTGGGTAAGTTTTCTACCAGCTAGATGACCTTAGAGAATTCTCCCTGATCATTTGAATGTTATTCCCAACCTTAGTCTTTTCAAGGCTTTTGTGTTCTTTTAGCATACTTTTTTATGGAATAATAAATAACATACAAAATAGACTAGGGTTTTAGATACACCTGAGTAGTAATCTGTACTACAGTGTATGTACACACACAACCTTTCAGAGAAGCTGTGGAGACTATTATTTAGCCCACTGGTCTTGGAAAAGGCAAGTTGTATATCTTTTTCTGTCTCCTCCAATGTACCATATTATTTTTTAATAATTTCCTTGACTTTCTTTGCTAAAATTTACCTGTCTTTAAAGTAACAATAATATTTGCTTCTTGGTAACATTAGCATTTGTTGGGTTATTTTTTAAAATATACTTTAAAGTATTTTTAATTCCTTGCACAAAAGAGGTTATAAGGGTACACAATATTAATTGCAGTGGAATGCCTAAATATGGCAGTCACGTATATAGCTAGCCACATTCTAATGTGACTGAGAGTATATAGTAAATCAAGAAAGAAGGGTCCAGGACACAGCTGCCTCCTACCCCAGCAGAGATGGTGCTGAGGGTGGCCCTGGGTGCTGGTTTGGCTCTGTCTGGTTGGCATGATGCATGATTTGGGGATGGGGCATAAAATTCCGCAGATACCAGTTGCACATTTTGTTTTAACGTCTGTGAAGGGCCATAAGGAATGATGTACTGGCAACTGAAGAAGAGGCAGTTCACTATCCTGTTGTGACACTGACTGGATATTAATTGTGTTTGCCTCCTGAGTTCTTAAGAGCTCAACCTCATATTTAAAAAGTCCTAGTAAGTGCTGTCTTCCACTGTTTTTCCATAGTAGAAAACAACTGGCATCCCCTTTTTTTTTCCATGTTTTTTTTTTTTTCCTTGGGGCCCACCTTTATAGTTAGCTCACAGGAAACCTCAGCCATGTAAGGTTAGACCCTGTTCCTTCCAGCTGTGAACAGATGAGTTAAGGTCATTTTAAAAAGGAATGTTTGCAAAGTGTTAAACTTAGGAAGGGAACGTGTGCTAAAATTCAGCATATGTGGTCGACTTTCTCTGGACACTTTGCAGTTATTTCTTGTTATCCTGACTTGAATTCTCTATCACCAGCCTCCTTTTTCATCTGTTTTACTTGAAGTAAAATAATTCTGTGTTTTATAATTTGGTTATGTCATGGGAATTAATATGATGTCACAAGTCAGTCTTCTGATGTCATTGTAGGATCAGGGAGAAAAAGATGGGTCAGGAATATGCAGGTCTCTTAATTCTGGAAAAGCACTTGATGGCTAGAAAAGGTAGTAAATGAGTTGGGGTTTTTTTAAATAACTACATTTGACTTCGGGATGATATGGCTACCACTCCATCCACTGTGAAACTGCGTGTTTAAATACAGTTTTATTAGTGGTAGTTTTGTTGTGAATAGTCATAGAATTAAAAAAACATTTCTTTAAGGCTTTTTTAATTGATAAAAATTTCTTGAGATGACTAATGAACTGGTTTTTGACATGTGACAGAAAGGCAGTGTCCGTCTTTTCAGCCTTGGAAATTCATACTGTTAATGAATGCTTTACGTTTTACAGGTTTGGGGACATGTTTCCTTTAATTTAATTTCTTCTTTCTTTTTAGTTAAATGCCTCCTAGGAATAAATTTTTGATATAAAAATATTTAATAAACACTCCGTTAGATATGTAATCCAAGAAATGCCATAATCTAGGCATGTAACGTTACAAGTAGAAAGGACTCTTTTGGTCTAGTCCAGGCCTGCTTAATCTCTAGCCAGATCCAGCCTGCAGGTCTCCCTATAGGTCTGGAAATTTGGCAGCAGGAGAGGGGTGGCAGTGCCAGGTGGTGAATGGCTGGAGCGGGGGGCAAGTGTCCAGAGCATGGAGCTGGCGGCTGTTGTGGGGCCCAGGGAGGTCTCCCCAGTTTGCTGCCTCCCCCCCGGGGATGGCCCGAGGTGGCAGCACTCCCCCACCACCACCTTTCCAGACCTGTGGGGACCCCCAGGCCCTGCACCCTGGATTGGGATGCAGTCCCAGTATGCAGGGCCAAATGAGGGCAGTGCTAGGTCATTGGGACTCAATCTTGGCACGCTGGGGCTTGAGCAGCCAGTGCCAGGCTTCTGGGGACCAATCCTGGGGCAGGAGGGGTGGCACCAAGCCCCTGGGGCCCAATTCCAGCATGCTGGGGTAGGAGGGGGTGGTGCCAGGGCCCTGGGGACCAATCCTGGCATGTGACGGTGGTGGGGGATGGTGCCAGGCCCCAGGGTCTGATTCTGGCACATGGGGTTCATTCTGCCCTGTGGACTGGCCCCACCTCACTTATTTGAGCCACAAGACCAAAAGCTTGAGCACCACTGGTCTAGTCAGTCTCCTAGGCAGTGCAAGATTTTTTAGTGATGTATTTTATACTGTCTTATTCAGTCTAGTTATAAGTGTCTTTCTGATGGCTTTATTTTACTTAATATACCCACACAGTTTTGAACCGGACACCTTTCACATGTTAGGCATGCAGTTAAAAAGCGTAAAAGACCTAGGTTAATTTTAGAAAAGTGAAGCAAAGATTCAGAGTTGCAAATGTTATCTAATCTGTCACTCACTTGTTAACCAATTGTTGTAGTACCAGGAGATATGATCATTTTTAATGGCCTAAATTCATTGCTACCCCTTACAATAGTTGGTAAACTGAAAACAAAGTGATAATCTCCGTGGTGAATTCTTTTGTTCTTGTGAAATTTACATTTACTATAAGTGTTTAAATTTATCATGAAGCAGTAAGAATTCAGTGCCGTTAGGTACCTTTTAGTAAATTGTCATTCTTGTGTTTTAAGCCCCTTTGGAAGCTGGTCCCATGTAGACAAGGAACATGCAAAGGAAATTTACTTTCTTCATCTGCGTAAGAGGAGAAATGTGCAATTACCAGTAATTGTCATTACACAGTGGGGGGAAAAAAAACTTTTAAAGTTGTAATTGTACTACTGGTCACTTCTATCTTGTTAAATGCTAATAGGTTGCTAATGAAATTTGTTTTCTGTTTTTTTTGCTGGCTCAGCTCTTTGAGTTATTGAATCGTGTGCATTTGTGCTTTACATAAATTCTGTTTTCATTATTCTCTTTCAGGTTTTCTCACGAGCAAATGAGCAAGAACCATGTGGCTGGTGGCTAGCAAAAGTTCGAATGATGAAAGGCGAGGTAGGACCTCTTAAGACCCATGTGCTACTATGGGATCTGCAGTAGATGTGTAAGATTAGCAGGGATCCAGGTGTTCTAGTTCTTGTGGAAAACGCAGATTTTCCCCTTTAGAGGAGAAAAATGCAGATTTCCCCTTTTGCAAACAGCTGTCCACAGGCTGGTGGAGTTCCAACCTGCAATGAGCTGGTTGCAAAAAGGGCACAAAACCCTAAACCCTGTCTGGAGGGGGCTGGGCCTGAGAATCTGAGATTAGCCAGGGGTGGCTCAGACTAATTTTTCTCTTCCCACCCCACTGACTATTCAACACTAGATACCCTATCCCTGCCTCCCCCTGTCCAGGATGGGGGTGAAGCCCCTACCCCCACAGACATCCCTGGGGATGGTTCAGCGCTGTTCTCTTATTTCTTGGCACTAGCTTTAACCCTTTAGTCCCTGTGCTGCCTAGGCCTCCAGTGCCCCTCCCCTGCTGTTGCCTTCCTGATGAGTCTCTTTCCCCCCACCCCCTTTGCATCTCATGGCTGCTTTCATTTGTATCTCAGTGGGGTGTCCTCACCTGGACATGTGTGCAAATGCAGGGGTGCATGCAGGGTGTGTGCAAGTGCGAGGTGGTGCACTGCTGTGCAAGGAGTACTGAAGCCCCCAGGTTGTGCACAGCTGGGGTGTGCCCAGAAGCCCCATGCACACACCCTGATATCCCTGGTGTGCATGGGGGGGATGGAGATGGGCCTGGGGGAGCTTGGGCTCTGTTCCTCCCTCAGACCAGACATTGGGACTGGGG